CGCCCTCTGGGCCTCGTCGCGCTGGCCGGCGCCGGGTGTGGGGCCGAGCTCCCATCTTCTCCATGCAGCGAGCCTGGCGCAGCGCGTCCAGCCGGGCCGGGTCCCCGGCAGCCCCCAGCCGCGGGCTCCGGTGTTCCTAGCCTTCCCTGGGGGTGGGGGTTAGTTACAAAGGTTCCTGTGGGTCTCTGGAGTGGGGAGCACGGCGGCCGCTTCTCATCTGAGAGCAGTCCCAGGGCCCGGCCCGCCTCCGACCCCGCACAGGGGGTATGTCCAGAGGTGCTGTGTGTCACCACCTGGTCTTCTAATTTGGAAGGAGTTGGAAAGGCCTTTTTGTTGATGAAAAGTTGGAAACAGTGGCACATATCTGCAAATATCGAAAGAATAAAGATTTTGGCAAGTTATACTCAAGCCCCGCACAAGTCGGTCAGCACTGGTGAGGGCAGAGACCCAGGTGCCTGGGGAGAGGCGGCAGCGGGATGAAGAGGAGGAGGAGGAGGAGGAGGAGGAGGTGGAGGAGGCGGAGGCAGCGGCGGCGGCGGCAGTGGCAGTGGCAGTGGCAGTGGCAGTGGTGGGCCGGTCAGTCCATCTCAGTGGGGACTGTTCTCCACTCTGAGCCCCACTTCCCTCCTGTTCTCCCAGGCTGCCAGGAGCCATGGGCACAGGGAAGAGGCAAAGGACTGCAGCTGCAGCGCGGGGGGAGCACAGTCAAGGGAGCAGGGAGAGCCGGGCTGAGGGCCGCCGCCAGCAGCTCCACTGTCAGCACCTGCCCCCGGCCTCTCCTTGGCGCCACAGCCTCTGCCCCTTCGGCCCAGGGAGCAGAAAGGTGGATGGGCCTGCTGCCACCGGGTCCCCAGACAGAAGAGCTGGTCGTGGGGAGTGGGGTGCAGCCTGTCCCAGCCAGGCTGGTGAGCAGAGAGGCTCCAACCACCAGAGGATCCCTGGGAGCCCCAAGGGGCACCCACCCCGGACGGGAACCAGGGCGAGAGTGGCAACAAAACGAGTACATGACGTCATGGGGGAGTGGGGACGCCAGCAGCCATGTCCAGCAGGAGAGTCACAAGGGCACCAGCCACAGACCGGGCGTGGCTCTGCTGGGGAGGACGATGAGGGCGAGGGGGTGGCCCCAGCAGCAACGATGAGAAAGGGAGGTCCTGAGATGCACCTCTAGAGACGGACATGTCTTGAGGCTGCCTCGGGGACAATGGCGCAAGTGAGGTCACCATGGAAACAATGGAAAGAAAAAATAAGGTCGCCACAGTGACGATGGAGAGAATGAAAAGGCCCGGAGGGACGGCTGCACCGAGGACGCGGCGGGGCGGGCAGGCGGAGGGAGCACGGTGGAGCAGGCAGCAGAGCACAGGGCAGGGAGCACAAAGGTGCCGGCGAGGAGGTTGTGGGCCGGGCACCGGCGGCAGAGGGAGGAGAGCTTGCCCTGGGGTGTTGCAGAACTAGCAGCAGAGGAAGGTGGGAGGTGAACAATGGGGTGGAGGAAGCGGGTGACTAAGGCAGAATGTCAGGGAGCAGGTGCCAACGGCATGGATGGCGGTCACCGCAGACATAGGCCCATGGGCTCTACAGCGTCAGCAGCAGCAGCAGGAGGTGTGGGCACAAGCAAGCAGTCCAGGGCGCTGTGTCTCAATGGGTGTGAATAGAAGCGAGAAGCTGTGAGTCCAGGCAGGGGCGTGGGGGGGGGGCGGGACACACAGCAGCAGCTGTCAGCAGGAAGAGGGTCAGTCAGCGTGTACGGGACAGCGAGGGCGCGCGGCAGGCACAGGGTGGACAGAGGCAGGCAGACTGGGCAGGGATGTGCTGGGCGGGCGGAGGCGAGAATGAATGAGCGAGGCCTGGGGAGCACTGGCTCTGTCTGGGTAGGGTTCCTGAGAGCCTGGCCGGGGCCTGACCTGGCGGGCTGGACACAGGGCCGGGTTGACAGCCAAGCCCTGACGCTCAGAAAGAGGCGCATGGAGTAACGCAGAAGGACAGGGCGAGCTCCTGAGAGTCCATCCGGGCAGCTCACCCACCTGCGTCTGACCCAAGACTCCCGGAATGGTCCAGCCAAGTCCCAGCTGGAGGGTGAGTGCTGGGGGATAGGTACTGCGTGTCAGATGCTGGGCGTGGAGAGACAGCAGGCTCAGGGCACCTAAGAGCTGATGGGCTGGGCCCCTCGCAGCAGAAGGCACCTGGGACTCTGGGGATGAGGTCTGTTGGAGGGGGAGACAGAGGAGGAGCCTGTGGGGGGACAGGCAGGGACTCAGGAGATGGCGGCCTTCGGAAAGACACCTAAGACTGTGAGGCCGACTGCAGGAGCAGGTGGGACAGGCAGGAGATGGAAAGAACAGGCACTCGGACCAGGAAGCCTGGGCACTGTCCTAGCTCTGCCAGCTAATGCTTTGTGCAGCCTTGGGCAAACAACCTTTGGGCCTTGGTTCACAACTGCGGAATCAAAGGGGTTGCGGAGTTAAAGCAGATGCGTCCAAAGATCCCTCAAGCTGGCCAGGAAGCCCTAAGGGGTCAGGTAGGAGGGTGAGAGTGTGAAGCCAGGAGGAGGGTCTGTGTGGATATGCTGAGGGCAGCCCTCTGGGCTCAGAGGAACCATCTGGAAGAGTCTGGGTGCAGACAGCAGCACCAGCAAGGAGCCGACGGAGGCGGCGCGTGTCTGCGTGGATGGAGACGGCAGGTGGCATCACCCTGACTTGGGGCTGCAGGCGCTCTTGCCTGCTCCCTCCTGGCCGGGGGCCGGGGGCTGGGGGCTCAGCCCTGCCTGTTCGGTGAAGGCCACCGGGCAGGCGGGAGGGGCGGGCACGTACCGTGAAGATGTTGGAACGCCGCTTGGACTGCTTGCGGATGGGTGTGGGGGTGGAGGAGGCAGCGATGGTCTCGATGCGCAGCTCCCGCTGGCTGGTGCTTGGGGTGGAGGGGACTGAGGACGAGTAGTCGCTGAAGGCGCTGCTGCCGCCATTCGTGGCCTAAGGACAGAGAGGGCTGCTGAAGGTGGCTCTGGGTGGGGCTCAGGGGCGGGCGGCAGGTGGGAGTTGGGAATCCTGCAGTCTGGAGACCTGGCCTGGGGCTCACGGGGCAGCAGAGGGACCACCAGCTCCTAAGGATGGTGCCAAGGACAAAGGCAGCATGGCCTGGAGGCCAGCAGGAGCCAGGCATCACCACACCGGGCTGCCCGACTAGGGCCCCAGAAGAGGCCACTCTGTGCCAATCAGGGAGCAGAATCAGAGGCAATGGCTAGCAGCTTGGAGTCAGTGACAGAGGCTGGAAGAGAACAAACTGTGGAGTCTGGCTCACAAGGGGTGTGACACGAGGTGACAGGTCACCCCGGATGAGCTCTCTGAGTCAGTGACAGGTATCAAGGAGGCCAAGTGAAGCTTGGGGAGCAGGAGGAGGATGAGGCTTACTTCTAGGCAGTGTGTGTGATAGGGTGAGGGACACGGGGGTCCCGAGGGAGAGAGCAGAACCGCTAAGACTGCCACCAGAGGAAGAGGAGATCAGGGAGCGAGACGGCAAAGGACCGTTGGATGCAGACAGTGAGTGCACGGCAGTGTCTACTCCCGACTCTCAAAATACGGACAGCATGACAAGGCCTGCCCCATTAGGTGATCACTAAGTAGGATGGGCCCTGCCCTAGCAGCCTCCTCAAATCCCAATCTGGACAAAAAGAGCAAGACACCTGAGCCACCGCCCCTTGCCAGTCAGGATCCCCGCAGGCAGGGCCCACATGCACCGCTGAAGTCCGCAGCCAAGGCGGAGTTGCACAGAGACAGTGAAGAAAGACCTATCGTTCCTCTTTTCTTCCACGTGGGAACGCTCACAAGGGAATCCCTGATGCCTTCTAAAGCGCTAAAGGGAGGGCTCTCCAGCAAAGCCACTAGGCTGTCATCAGGAAGCTGGGGGGCTGGGGGAACCTTGGAAAGACAACAGCCCTTGGCAGAAGTAAAAGAAAGGCTGTCAGCCTGACCACTCTATCACACACATCTGTGAAGGCCCAGGGCTCTCCGCAGAGCAGGGGGCTGAGGGGGCGGATGCAGCTACGGGAGCAACAAACAGCCACCCAGTAGGCCCAGGACGTAGGCAGGTGTCCACGTGGTATGACGGGAGGAACACTGGCGGGGCCTGGCCCAGAACACCCCACTGCCTCACACCATGGGTCCTTGTGGGGTAAGCGCTGCCCTTCTAAATGCGAACACTGAGAGAAGAGCCAGCAGGTGAGGAGGCGGCGGGCCTGCAACGGTCTGCCCAGGGCTGGTCCCTGGCAGGCCTCCAGGAACTCCGCCGTGCCTCCGGAGTACGGCTCCATGGAAGGGGGTACTGAGGCTGCTCTAACGTGCCTGACCAGAGCGGATGTTTGGGATGCCTGAGCTCACAGGGCTGCGGGGTGAGAATGGCGTTGAGCAGGGATGGGAAACTAGCAGGAAGGCGGTCACCACAGGGTACAGATGAGGCCAGGCCAGGCCAGTCGTGCAGGCTAAGGGAACTCGAGCCAGTGCTTTCAAACCATCTGCAAGGCGGGAGACCAGACGAGGTGGGGACACGCAGGCAGACAAACAGTATGGAGAGGCAGGGCCGCGGCGGGCAGGGCGAGCGTGTGGTGGGAGGCGGGGAGGCTGGCCGCACCTGGTTGATGTGCACGGCCGGGATGGAGGCGGCGGACACTGCCGAGTGGCTGGGGGAGTTGGGCAGTGACTTGCAGGGCCCGATGGCCAGCTGCTGCTTCTTCCGCAAGGCCACTACCTTCTGGGCCACTGCAGGGGACAGCAGAGTCAATTACCCCTCTGGGGAGAAGGGAGAAGCCCAGCTTAGAGCCCCCCCCCCCGAGCCTGCCTGACCCCCACTCTGGGGGAGCTGTCCCGGGCGCCGAGTTACCGTCCTGGAAGACGCGCTCCACGTTGAGTCCGTAAGTGGCGCACGTCTCATAGTAGGTGCAGCGCTTCAAGTCTGTGGACAGCTTGCGGGCCCTGCTGTCATCAATAACCCGCGGGTTCGCGGCACTGATGGCGTCTGTTGGAGGCAGGAGGGCGGGGATTGACTCAGTTGGCTGAGAAGCTGGGGCCATAGAGGGGGACAGCCATTTGGTCAGAGGGTGGGTGGGCAAAGAGCCCAGGCAGCGGACAACACGGAGCACGAGAATACGGGTGTCTGGGCCACAGTCCAGCTCTGCCACCGACTCACTGAGTGGAAACGAGCCAGCCACTATGTTTATTCATCTCCAAAAACGTGGACTCGACCATCACACGAATGGCAGGATCTAGGTGGGGAGGACCCAGCGGGTATGGAGCAGGGAGGAAGTGCCCATTCTGGGGTGACGCGAAAGGGCTGGTTCAGCGTCCGGAGGGGCAGAGAAGCCGGGCTTCCTCACACCTGCCCACCTGGGGACCCAGAGCCCCCACGACCCCCTGCAGACCTGCTCACCCTGTGTGCCCACCAGCACCATGGGCACCTCGCTGGCGTTGCGGAAGCTGCAGAGCCGCAGGAAGTAGTTATACACCGTCTGGAAGCTGATTTCATCCTCCAGGCTGAACACAAATACCACCGCGTCCACCCAGGCAGCAAACTAGGAGGGACCGAGCAGAATTACCACGCTCACCTGGTTCATGGGCCAACTTCATACCCCTCTCCCCACACAGGCAACCTGGCCCAGTTCAAACTGAGAACCTCGAGAAAGGGGTGCCACGGGCCAGAGCTGGGGCAGGAGCATCACCTGGAGCTCAGGGGGGCCTCCTTCATCTCGGATCAGCAGCAGGTAACTCTGGCCATCCACCACAATCTCCTTCTTAAACCGACCCCCTAGGACAGAGTGCATGGTCAGGCCCAGAACCAGAAGAAAGAGCCCACGGGGGCCAAACAGCTTCCAACAGAGGAGACAGGAGGACTGAGAAAGACCAGGGACTGGAGCTCCCTGCACAGACAGAGGGAAGGAGACAGGGGCAGAGCACAGCCTCAGAGCCCAGGCCAACCCGCAACGCTCACCTTCAGGGGACTCCTCCTGGACATAGGTCCCCGTCAGATAGCGGTGCACCAGGGCCGACTTGCCACTAGACAGGTTCCCCACAATGCCCTGCGCGAGAGGAAGGCGTGAGAGCAGTGGTCAGAGGGCAGGAGGGAGGACACGGGGCAGGAGAGGCGAATGTGTTAGGAGGGAGAAGGGCCAGCGCCGAGGGTGCACGGGAAAGAAACTGGGAAGCAGGGGGCCACAGAGAGAAGCCAAGCTTCCAGAAGGAGGGGACTGGAAGCAGGGGAAACAACGCTGGCCCACCACTCCAGCCCGCATCCCGCCCCTGGCCCCCGGACTGCCTGGGCCTCCCATGGGCCTCACTCACCACTTTAAGCTCCGGCACAGAACGGCTCAGGGTCCATTCCTGGCTGTTCACAAAGGAGTCTGCGGGAGAGAAGGCCGCCCATCAGGACTGGGAAGACACACACACCTCTGCTATCCACCACCAGTGGCCTCCTGCACTGCCTCTCCTTAGGCCAAGGCCAGAAAACAACCCTCACCCCTGGCTCCCTAGGGAGCAGCAGGAAATGCAGGGATGTGGCAGCGGGGATGACAGTTCTCAGTCCCCTTGGCCTGGACCTGGGTCCCTCCTCTTACTGCTCCAGCAAGGTGAGCAGTTCCCACCTTGAGCCACACCCAGCCTGGTGCCCCCAGCCTGGTGAGAGGCCGCTCCAGTAGGTCTCAGCCAGACCCAAGCTGGGCTGAGGGGCAGCCTCTGCAGCGAGTAGGAACAGCTCACTCTCGCAGGGCTGGGCCACCCACCACATTCCTGGCCGGGTGAAGAGGGAGGAGCCCTTACCTGGCCCTGTTCTGTGAGAGGCAGGTCCAACAGGGAGCTACGTACCCTGCCCGCCCCGCCCCGCCCCGACTGGCCCTTCTCCCCAGGCTCCTCTTGGCAGGAGGCCACCACCCTTTCTTTCCCATAGACCCGCCTCCGGGGCGCCTCCCTTCCAATCCATCCTCAGCTCCTGCCTGACTCGAGCTACCCAGGGCCCTGGGCGGCCGCCCCGCTCTTTGTTATCCCCTAGGTTGTAATGGACATCCTCCAGCCAGCTCCGGGTGGCTGGGCTTGCTCCCCCTCCTCAGGCTATCTCAAAGAGTAGTTACGACGGTCGGTCGGGTCCACAAGCAATCCCGAAACTCATCTGCAAAGGCAGTTAGACGTGAGGGCTTAAGCCCCATCTGTGAGCTAGAAATGCTGGGTTCTAGTCCCACCTAGAGCCACCTGGTTCAGAGTGAGTCTCCATCCTTCCCCAGCCCCAATTCCTCCTGTGCCAGAAGTGAGAAAGGGGCCCCTGCAACCTGGCCTTATTCCACCATGTTAGGGCCAGTGCGAGAGAGCACCGAGCAGCGGGCTGCCCTGCCTGGACACACTTGGAAGTCCTCTGCCACGGCCAAGTTCTCCAGACTCCCCAGCGACCCAAGAGATGCCCGCGCTGATCTCACTTGGCCAGCCCCGGCTAGCCCCTGGCCCGCACGGCACGCCCACCTCTCGCAGGTAGGTTCCCGGTTTGTTCCCCACCCGCTCTCAACCCGGGACTGCAACCAGAGAGGACACAGGCCGGCCTCTCCCTCTTAC